ATATCTAGTTTAAATTATACTAAAAATAAAAAATGCAAACTGAACAATAATTTTGGGACAAAAAAAGTATAACTTTTGTTTCCACCATCAATTCATCATCATATAAATTTTAGGCTTCTGTGCTTGTTTTACAAAGCTCCCTTCGCTATTGCATCTAACCTTCAGTGTAATAAATTCAATTATTTTTTGAAATGAATAGAATATTGTTCAAATATCAATGTTAATAATTTTTTTTTAACATTTAAATTTAAGCATGAATGAACTCTATGCATATAATTGAATTGGAAATGAATTTGGTGAAGTTGCAGTCTCTATGTCTTAGCCCGAAGATTAGACTCTCACTTTCATTATAATTTTTACTAAATATAAAATTTTAAACTAAATAATTATTTCGGAACAAAAAAGAGAATGTATCTCGTGGCAATTTATATCGTGCACCGTGTTCACCAGGAATAGTGCTCTGGTTTTCCTATTCGTAAAACACGCAAGAAAAAAGTGAGTGAATTTCTATAACTTGTTTAAAATTCTTTCACGCGCGGCTGATCCAAGTCAATCAATTCCTCAATTGATTCAATTTTTCCATTTTTTTCTTTCAAAAATAAATTATTTCTATAATTAATTGATTTCTTTCCTTTCTCTCTCCAAATCAACCGTGTAAATTAACTCTAATTCAAAAATTTCTGTAACAATTTAATATGAATATTGGGCACCATACTTATAAAAATTTTGACCAATCATCATGAAAATATAAAAGTACGATGAATTCTTTTACAATACATCATGAACATTATGATATGATATCTTGAATATATGTGGTATTATGAATATATGGATAATGAAAATATGAAAAATTTTATCGGCAATCATGAATTTCTCACCTTTAGGGTTTGAATAATAATATAACTATGTAAATTCATATTTTTACTTTTACGCATAATATGAATAATGTGTAAATTTGTTATGAGTATTATATCCTATAGTTATGAACAATTGATATTTTTATGTATTGTATGAACAATGTGCAAATTTGTTATGAATATTGTAACCTATGGTTATGAACAATTATTATTTCTTTTTTAGTATCAACAATGTGTAAATTTATTATGAACATTGTAACTTTTTTTTATGAACCTTGCATATTTATAAGATAATATTTGAAATTTGTATTCTTTTGAATGGTGAATATTGCCCAAAATCATCATGAATTATGTTTAAGATGAGTAGGAATATGATATTACTATATAAAGAATGAAAATGTATAAATATTAGAATGAAAATCCAGTAATAAAATAATGAACTTTTTTTACAAAAAGAATGAATTACGATAGATATTAAAAATTCAATTAAATTATATGAATAAATCACGAGAGATATTTTATTTTTATTGAAAAAAATAGAGAAAATATGATTTTATTATGAATCTGATTCATATTAAAATTTGAACATACACAATTTGTATTTTGAACAAAATAAATCCTACTGTGTAGAGAAGATTACAGGCCATATTGTAGATTTGATTATTTATAAAATTAATAAATAAAATAATTAATTATATCAATCAGAAAGTTTTCATAATTAATAAATAAAATAATTAATTATATCAATCAGAAAGAGAAGTGCGTGTTTATACATGACAAGTGCACCAAATAGTAAATACCGTTCACCTAACTCATATCTCGTAGCTCCTTTCGGGATAGACACATGCTTAAGTTAAACCTTTTTTTTTTTTCAATTTTTAAGGTAGCTAGACTTAATTAACGGGACTAATAAGAAGAAAGTAGTTTGGTGAGTGAGTATGCAGATAATTTTTCCCAATGGAGGAGTACAACATATTTACTAGAAATTAACGTGTAAAGTCGTCCCAGTGAACACTTAATTATAACCATATAGAAGTTTATCATTGGATTTGACCCCCCAAAAAAAAGGTTATCATTGGACATTATTAACTGATCGGAAAATAATAAGAGTAAGATTAATTATTATTTCCATCTGATTATACCATGTTTTTTTAAACTACAATAACTTGGGCAAACCTGCATAAATCGCGGGAAGATACAAATATAGATGTACAAGATCTGCAATTGATTTTCTTCTCGTTTCTGAAGCAGAAGATACCAGGTTTACTTTGGAGCAGCAAAACATTATGAATCTCTATGATGATGCAAAGTTTATTTTCCCCTAGTTTACAGGTATTCTGAATTCCTGAAGTCTTTTGGTAAGGACCTTGATCTCTCGATCTACAGGACTCAAATTACGTACGGATTAATCGGGACATCAGTTTCTTGTAAAATGTTTGTAGCAAACACATGAAGACCTGTACTATTACTCCAGCAAGTCCTACTTCCACTTACCATGCATGTTGCATTTTGCGGGTTTACTTTTCGATCAATGTGCATGCATGTTTCAGGGGTGCAATGAAATCTCGATTCAAAAGCTTAACCATTCATCCATTGTGATCATTTTACGTATTATCTAAGTCAATGATCCATGAATATATATATATATATATGTATATGTTTACTGAAGATAATGCTGGACTTTTTAAAATCCAACCAAACTAAAGGATTTTCTAACATACTGATTAAAGGTCAAACCAAACTATATGTATCAATATGTACGTAACATATCAGTCAACCCTTCGAATAATATAGCAAAAAAGCAAAGTGATTTTATGGAGACTCATTGGGTTCAAAATTAATTGACAATGAGGGGAGTAGACTTATATATTGATATCAAGTCTCTCCCACCACCGATATGAGATATTCAACACTCCCCCGCAAGCGCAACGTCTCTTCTTGGGTTGGGCTTGTCAGCCCAGCCACCACCTCACGTCTCAGCCCTATTAGTTCTGTCACATCAGGCTTTGGAATCCGACTTTGGCAGGCTGGCTCTGATACCATATAGAAATCTATGAAGTTCTACCTTAAAATTAATTGGTAATAAGGAAAGTAGTTCATAAACTTATATATTAATATTAAGTATCTCCCATCGCCACCGATGTGGAAAACTCAATAGATTTTAGTTAATGGCGGGTCATTCAAAGTTGTACGTACTATATCATGTTCTTGGCAATGATCATTCATATGTTTCAAGGTCTTACTTCACTTCCGGAAGATGTTAATTCAATTCGCGTTTGCGGTTACGTGTTTTCAAAGAAATGAAATTGCATGCATGAGGGGAAGAAGAGAGGATTATGTGTTTTAGCCACATTTTTTTCTTACAACACCTTATGTTTTTGGGTTGCTCGTTAATTTCTGAAATGTATTGTAATATGCTTACTATGTTGTTGTCAAAAAAAAAAAAAAGAAAGAAAAACAAAATTAAGACTTGCTTATTAATGCAGTCATACAAAGTTGAAACGGTTTGGTTGAATTTTCTTCTTCCGAATAGTTTAACTTTGTAAAAGAAAAAAAAAAAAAAAAAGAGACCAAACGGAGAAAAATTATCGTAGTGCGTAACATCACTGGAAGCACGGAGCGTATGATACACGCACCGTTTAAGTACGCGTGAACGTGCGGGGACAGTGATGATGCCAGAATCTTTTCTGATTCGCTCCCGAAAACTCACAGGAGCTCGCTAGCTTCGTGCCTTCACCTCCCTCTCATTTATGTATGGCATTTGTGTAGATTTATACTCTTTGATGGATAATGATGGCTCAAGCACACAAACACCACTCACGACCTAACAAGCCTCCGAAATGTAGCCACTTTTCTACTTGATCCGAATGTAATTGTATAAAAAAAAAATCTCGTTTGTTGAATTTAAAACCAATATAATTTTTATTTCAAGAGGGAGAGTCAAATTGTATCGTTCTTAATGAAAAATTCTTGTTTGCTGGCTTCACTACCACATTACTCTAATACTCAAAACTCCCTTCTCGTTCATATATCTAGAATTTAGTCGGATATGTAATATCGTAATTTTTTTTACAAAAAATTAAAATAATATGATTTATAATTTAAATTGTAAATTATTTTATGGGACGGAAGAAATATATATGTGCATGATTGAACTAGTGAGAATCTAAACCACATCGCAAAGGTATATCACGTTTCCATTTGGACAAGATTTCTACACCTTTGGAAGAGGGATGTGAATGTTTGGTGAGGTAGGAAAGGATGAGATACTGTAAAAGCGAAATTAATGGTTTTGAATCTAGCTAGTTAAATACAGTCCACAGAGGAAAAGTAACCATTCTCGTCCTCTCTGAGCTAGTTAATCAAACAAACTAAAAGTAATTCATATTTATCCAAACCTCAAAACTAAACATTGCGCGCAGTCACGCTCAAAATGTTACAACATATAATTGTACTACCTCAAAAAGTAATCTCAAAACATAAAATTTCACAACATCGATTGATCCTAAGTCGAATCATTCGATGAATAGTTTAACTTTAACAGTTGACAATATTTTACACAAGAAGAATGTCAAATAGCAACTTGATAATAATTTAGATTACTGACTCAACTTATTTCCTCACTATCTAGTTGAGAGACAATAGGGATTTCCATTCATCTCATCAACATGGAATAGTACCTAAAAACTGGAAGAAGATAAAAAGAAAACCACATTCACAAAAATATGGGAAACAAATAAGGGTTAATGGTTACTTCTTTTACTTGTGGCATGTAAGAAACGTTCTCAATTAAAACTAAAACACTACTCCTTCCGATCTTTATCATAAGACATTTTGGTTTCGTCATAAATTTCACATAAGATGTTTTTTAAATTGAAAAAAAATTTTAAAAATGTATTTTTATATTCGTTATATTCTCATAATTATTATGAAATATTTTTAAAATTTTTATTTTAATTAAAAAAATATATTAAGCAAGATTTAAAACGAAATCAAAATACCTTGCGATAAAGACGGGAGGGAGTAATATTTTACTATTGCACAATTTGGTGGGATGGGTTTTTTTTTTTTTTTTCCTTCTTTATGGGAATTTGGAGGGAAGTAAGTTAGGGGTGTCTCATAGGTCGCTTTCAGTCATAAATAGGCTTTAGCTGAGAAATGGCAATGACAGTCCACACCCACACTCCTCAGTCCCCCCACACACACCTTTTGTTATTAGTAGTAACACTTTTACTTTCTCTCTCACACACTCACACACTAACATACTTTTCGAGCGGGAAATTTACGCATAAGGTACTTATTTCTTTACCCGCTTTTCTTGTCCTTCTCTCTCTCTCTCTCTCCTGTCTGAAGAGAGAAACACCATCCGTTCTTTCACTGCCAAACTCCCTCCTCTCTCTCCATCTTCAGTTTCTTTCTTTTCTTCATCAGAAGTAAATATGGGAAATATTTGCGTTTTGATGTTGTTTTTGTGATGTTTATGGTTATGTCTTGATTCTCTAATTGTGTTTTTGTTTTGGATGATTTTATTAACGTGGTTATTTACATGCTTTTTGAGGTTTTAATCTTGTAAAGTTTGTTGCTTTATCCATCATTTTGTATCCTCCCCCAACCCATGTTTCCACTTCCATCACTTTGTGTATTTTTTTTTGTTGCTTTTACAGTCTTTAAGGTTACGAGTTTTAATGTTCTTGCATCACTCATGATGTTGTAGTAAGTAACTTAATTTTTTTTTTTTTGTGGTTTATGAATTGATATTTGCCATTGTTGCTGAAGGATTGTGATTGTGATTTCTGAAATTTGTTACTTTTTTTTTTTCTGCCTCTTCCTTCCTTCTTCTCTCTCTAGATTAATTGGTTCTCCACTGTTTTTGGTTTCATTAACTTTCCAAATTCCAATCCTTATCTCTATACATATGGACTACAACTAGTGCTGTTCATTGCCTTCCCATTTGGTACTTCTTTCTCATCAAAACCCTCAAAATTTCTTCCCGCAAAAACCCATACTTGTTTATCCACAAGCTTGCTTTTTTGACCAGAAAGTTTGAAACTTTGAGCTTCATATGACTGTATCCATGGGGGGTTTTTCGATCCGGTAAGTTTCCATTTGTGGGTTCATTTTGATTTCCATCTATTTCATTAGTTTCTACTTTTGTTTTGAGCTTAGGTTTGTGTTTGATATGGTGATTTTGTTTTTGTTAATTTATCCCTTGTTTTAGAGAGTATACCTCAAGGATGAGGAGTATTGACATGGCGAAATGCTGTCCATTCGATGAGGCTAGTGAAGAAGTTAGTAGAGCTATTTTGGCTCCAATCACCATCAAGAAATTCAGCTGGTGGTTTGACAAGCTTCAATTGGTTCATGAAGATGAAGAGGAAAACACGGATTTGGATTCTGAAACTCTTCAATTTATGAGAATGAAAAAGGGTAAGACCAAACCCAAAGCCAAGGCACCAAAGAAGAGGTCCATAGTTGAGCTTTTCGCCGTGGCGCCACAAGTAGAACGGGCGATTAGCAGTGATGATGATGATGACGATGAAGAAGACAGCATTGATGGTAGTGAAAGGGAAGATAGGAATTCCACTCCAAAGTTGTCTTCTTGTGGGAAGATGGGAATGAATTACAAAAGCAAGAAGAAGTTTAAGAAGAAAGAAAAAGTTGTGATGATCAAGGATTTAAAGAAGGATAAGGTAAACAAGAAGAAGAAGAAGAAGAAGCAAAAGGGAAAGAAGGTTACTGTGGATCTCAGTTCTCCAAAGAAGGTAAGATGATTGATTTTCATTATCATCATCATCAGATGATGTCGTTTTCTGCAACTGATTATTATTATTATTATTATTATTGTATGTGTTCCTTTCTTGTCACATGAAATATTGATTGGTTTCTTGACGAATTTGTGAATTGTTACTCTAATTTCCAGCATAAAATATTGGATGTTAACTGTAGCTTACATCGAATCTTAACCATTGCTTACATGAGTTCTTTCTCAGTAACCTTTGGAAACACATTAAGTAGTCTCTTCCTCAAAGACATTTGAGCTTTAAATCACTGCTAATAATATCTTGTTGCATGACCTACTAGATGCCTCCTAAATGAACTGAGCTATCCATTCTTGTACTAGCTAGATTGAGGAGAAAAAGTGAAAAAATGGCGTTGGGTATTGGACAAGGTCTGGTGCAGATTGAGGACCAAGGATTGTCATTCCAGCTGTGTTGTACGGTTTGGATGGTGAAAGGCCTTTGCTTTTGTCGTCCTTGCTTTTGCTAAATAATAGATCCTTGCTGATCTTTCAGCTTGTCACGTATATTACCTTCTCAGGCATCATTATCATTGGACTGAGATGCACCCCACACTCTCCATATCATTTGAATTCTTGGATATTGACCTCTTTTGGTTTAATGATGTCCTTATGAAATTGAAGCTTCAAATCATGCTATAATTGAGGCAGTTAATGCATGAGTTCACCATTTATCGAAGTTTGAAGGGCTTGGAGTGATGGATGGGAGCTTTGTTAACTGAATTGGCATGGTTAGGGTACTTGAATCGATGGTGTATTTCATGATCATGTTCCCTTAAAAAGGCAACCCTTTAGTAGTCAAGTTGAAGTGGGTTTAGTTATCTTCACCTTTCTCCAGATTTTTTTCTTCTAGGCTTTAGTGCAGTGATGAACCTTGCTGTTTACTGTTTGGTTTTGTGCTCATGATGTTGTTGGAGCGTTCTAAGATTAACGTATTACTTGAGCATGAACATATTCCGCAACTGCTGAATTGCCAGTCCATTTTACGGTGAGAGGAAGGCTGAATCTTGTGTATTTAGATTTGAGAATGTGATGCAACAATATAAACGTTTGTGTGTTTATTTACATGTATTAGCTTGGTGAAGCTAGAGGAATTGGGAGAGATTACACCTTCTGATTGTCAAATAGACTCAGGTGCAAGCATGCGATCATAAAATGATAGCCTCAAAGGCATGCAGTGATATACATCAGTTTCAAGCTGTGCTTGAATCTGCCGATTTCCTCTACTGCTTGGATTTGTGACACATATATATTAGCACACTAGTGGTACGATAGTCATAATAACGCACGGCTCCTGTGATTCTGTTAAATATTTTGTTATATTTAAGTCATTATTTTGTGGTTTTTGGCAACTAAACAACGTCTTAAACCTCCATACAATGTGTTCTTATTCAAGGCTTCACCCTTTGTCTGAATTTCTTATCAAAATAAAGTTCTCAGCTATATTAAGCTTTGAAAAAGAGGTAAAATCTTATTTAGTTTATGGTCCTATGGCATTTCAGATTCTATTATCTTCTTTTATTGATATCATATGTTTCTGTTGACCATAGAAAGTACACCTAATAAATATGTACTCTACTTGCAGTTTGTGTTATTCAGCTCCAAAGCTGTTTCGTGTAACCAATGAATTTTATGGTCATGCATGAGCCCTTGGTAGGGGTGACGAGATTCAATTGAGATTACATGACCAGATCAACTAATGAATCCTGCATTAACATCAGTTCTAATCTTCTCTATGTCTTTCACCTCTTTAGCAGGAAGAATAGGTAAAAAAATCTTAAAGCAATTATATTCATCAGAGATGGGTTGTTTACACCCTTGAATCTATCGTAACTGCTACTGATTGAAAGATTAAACTCAAGCTGTAGTAGATTGCTATATTAGATATCGTCTTTCTGTGATCATGCATCTTTTGAGGCTTTGACATTCTAGAGCCTCAATCACCTTCGTTATGTTTGGTTTCTACTTCTAGACTGTATAATTTGGCTGTGAACGGGTTTCTTTTCTTTTTTTTTTTTCCTTTCTTTTTTTTTAAGATGTGTGAACATGTTTGTCCATAATACCTTTTTGTGCTTTGTCAGTGCCCCCTTTGCATTTCAGAAAAAATTGGTTTAGTGATGAGCTTGCCTTGTCTTCAAGTCAGATGGGACCTCCATGCTTTGAACTGCTCAAAACCTGGGGAAAATATGTTCTTGATGGACAATGTTTATGGTTAGAACTTAGAACTGCAAGGAATGGAAATATTTGCTTTAGACTGTCTTCTAACCTTATCATTTCCATCCGATGATATATGATATTTAACTAAGACTGTAATTTCAGTGTTTCAGGCATTTACATCCATTTTTCTTTCCAAAGTCTATCTAATTGTGTGAGGTATGTCTTGACATCAGGAAAAAGCTTCTAAGGTCAAATTGCAAACATCAGCTTTTGTAGTGCCAAATTCAAATTCTGCAACATATATCAAGGACCTGTTTGATGCCTTTTCAACTCATTCAAAGAAGCCAAGGTTGAAGCGATTAGCTGGAGAAAGGTCAAAGTGCAAGATTTCAAGTAATTCCAAGTTTCTTCCATTTGATCAACAAGCTGAATTACCAGTACGTGGAATTCTTAAAAATCCCAATAAAAAAGTCGTAGCAGAAAATATCTCAGATACATGCTTGCGGGATGCTAGTAAATTAAATCACTGTGACACTCAGCATGTCAATAGACATGTTACCTTCTCTTCAAAGGATGATGTACTTGAACCACGTAAGAACACATCTCCTGCTGTGGATTTTCAATCAATAAGCAATTTGTTTTCTAATATCAATATTGGGTTTTCTGCAAAAGGTCAAACTGCAGAAACAGAAAAGAAATTGAGTACTGATGAGGAGGAAACTAACAAGGACAGAAGAAGATGCGCCAGAGACAAGTTTGCAGTTCAACAAGTTACTGAAAAGCAGGTATCTGGCATACATCATGTCTCCCATGCATCAAACTTTGTCTTGGGCCAGCATGATTTCAGTCGAGCTAATTTGTTCAATGCAACTGCGCCATATGGTCAGGTTCCTCCGCAAAGTGACAGTCACAATAGAGTAACATTACATGATGAGATGTATACTTCCTCTTCTGGGATTCCAAAAATCTCTTCAGCACCATATATTCCAAAATTGACGATTCCGGTGTTCAACCACTCTTCAGGTGCTTACAGTTGCAACCAGAGATGGCTGGATCTTTCACAGGATCCTTATCATAAGCATGATTCTGATTGCTCAATTGATTTTTCGAAGGCGTATCCACGGCCTCCAGCAGCATACCTTTCTGTCTCACAGAGCAATCTGTATAGGAAACCACTTTTTTGCTCACAGGAAATTGGAAAGAATCGCAGTGACCATACTTTGCCATGCCCACGGACCCCTCACCTGTCCCCTAAAGAATTGATGCAAACCATTTGTTCCATTCCAGAATGGACCCCTCGGGCAACTGGGTATGGACAGACCAGCACATCAGAGGGTTTTGTTGGCTTGCCTCTGAATTCACTAGGGGAATTTATCAGTCTGGACTCTGGTGTTAAAGATGGATTTAATCATATTAAAAGCACGAGTGTCGTTGCTGGTCCATCTGTGAGCGCAGTTATACATGAAAATGTTCTGCATAACCCTTTGATTAACCAGAGAGATCTTAGAAGTTGGGATAAAATGAATTTGTGTAAAAGCCAGCATAGAACAGGCAGGATCCAGGACTCCAGTTGCATGGTTGATCGTTGTGTTTTACCCTCCAGAATCAGTATGATTGAGCAGTATGGTATTGAAAAGAGAAGCAATGTTATCCAGGGAAGCGATCCTTGCTTCAGCTCAGTGGAGTCTGTTGTGGATCGGATGAAAGTGTTTCATATTGCATGCAACCATGATCAAGTTGAACAACCAGGAGGTAACAGAATTCGACAGCTTGGAAATCCTGATCTTCTTTCACTCCGCGTCCCTCGATCAACAATGCGCTTGATGGGTAAAGAGTTTACTATTGATGGAAAAGATCTGGAAGCATCTGAGAAGAAAGAGGTTTGGACAGACAAGGAAGTCATAACAGAGAACTCTGGTGGCAATGACACTAATACTCGGTTTGTTGTCCATCCTATTTTGGGGACTCTGAGAGAAACAGTGACAGATCTTCCAAAATATAAAACCAGTCAGGCATCTAGAAGTGATCCACAGACAGTTGTTTCAGAGTCTAAGAATTCCTCTCAGTTCTCTGACTCCCACAATAAGACAAGGAATCAGAATGGTGGCACAGTAAGCAAAGAAATCCAGGCATATGAAACGCATCCTTGTTCTCCATCTTCTTTCGCTTCACCAAATAGCTACGGTTCCATGTTGCAAGAATCCTGTTCTGCAAATATTCCTCTGTCCAAAAGCTCTCGCTTCTCTATATGTGGACCAAATCTTCTTCCTGACTCTAGTCAGAAAGTGGGAAGAAGTTGTTCCATACCAGAATATAAGACGACTCCACTTGATGGTGCACACTTCCCTTTCAAGTTCCCTTTCCCAGATTTAGAATGTGGGAGGAACATTCATCCAGCTATGTCTCATAACTCCTTCAAGGGATCCCCATATTTTTCAGGCAGCAGACTGAAGGGGACTTCGGTGGACTATCATCGTCCTTCTTCTCCTAGCAGCCTGCGTTATCCCTGGGCCATTCCTGGTACTAATTATGGCGCTGATGCCTCTATCCTCAGCCGGCCTGATCCTTTTTCTTTGTCAACTCACTCTTTCAACAAGAATTCATTTTCTTCAGCTTCTTTGGCTCACCGTCCTAGTTTCCCAGTTCACTCTGGATTATCAAAAGAGAGCAGATATGCTCCAAGAACTGATAACCACATGAAGTCAAAATTCAGAGTTCGAGTTCCCCCCCATGGAAAAGGATCAAAAAGGAGGCAGCCACCTGCATCAAAGGGCTCCAGGAAGCTCCCAAAGATTGGAAAAATGAAAGGTCAGGATGATTGCAGCAATGCTATAGCAGAAGTTGAGGCTGGGAATAATGTTGGAGATCTTCAATGTAGCAAACAACTAGAAGTACCATCTTCAGGGCTGCAGGATGCAGGTCTTACGGTTCACAAGGACCAGATAGGAGAATCTGCTACGAATGATTTCCTTAAGCACGCCGGACCTCCAAGATCAGGTCCTATCAAATTAACAGCTGGAGCAAAGTACATCCTGAAGTCATGTCAGAAGAATGATCAGGCAAATGGTGAGACAACCAATTCAAGCGCCTCAGTAAGGGCGTCACCATCCGGTTCTTGAATCTGAGAAACCATCTGAGGTTCATATGTTTCCGCTGTAAGTATGACGACTATTGAGATTCACATTACTTTTGTTTAAATGTTCTCATCAGCTAAACTTGATCCATACGCTGATAATGCAGGAATGCTGGTGCGCCACTGGAACTTGAAGCTTTGCACCTGTAAGCTAGCTTTGTGTACTGAATTGTATGTATTGCATCTTAGTTTTGTTTGTACAACAATAGTACCTGGGACATGTGAGTTTGGCTCTTAAAGTCATGAGCTAAGATTGTATCTTTTGCAGTATGTGCAGTCTCTTACCAACAGAAGGGATGCTTTATCTTAGTAGCCTTGATCTATAAATTAAGGATTTTATTGTCCTATAAAATATAAATATGTGCTTTTATATATTAAGCTCTTTTTCCTTGCTAAATTATTTCTTCTCCAATATCAAATGTGCCATTTCAAGAAAAAAGAATAATAATATCAAATTGTCCTAGTTTAACAAAGATTCCCTCACCTTCCATTTCCAAAACCAAATCAAGTTTTATGATGTTTTTCTTGTTTGACAGGAACTATGCGGTGATGTGGTATCTAGCGGGCATTCCCATTTTTATTAATTTAAATAAAAATCACACTTATTAGATGGGGAAATCTGTAGAAGGATGAATGAATTTATGACAATTTCTAATGAGTGGATTTGCTGCAACTTTTAGATGAATCTATCTCTCTTATTAGTTGTGAGTCACAACCAGTCTGGTGGGTACGTAGATAGGTATGATTAGGCAATCATTTTGAGAGAAAATGCAAATTGATGTCTAGTATAATTGTAATCCTTTGATAATATACTTTACTTTCTCCCCAATTCATTCAATTTACAATGCACAGGTTAAAAATTAAGTTTATTTATTAATTTCAACCTTATGCTTTATAACAGGACGCCATGGAGTTTCATGAAAACTGGTTACATTGGACAAACTGATCTTGATTCAAAAGGAATATTTCAGAAATGTATCCTCATTTTTCACTCATTCCTTGAAATATTAAACCAAACACACACACACACACACACACACACACACACACACACACAACAAGCATAACCATTCAAAAACAAAATGGTTATACGCTTAATTTGAAAATTCACAAATGTACATTCCGATCAAGTACAACTCCTGTAGAATCAATAATCAACAATAATAAGGTACGAAAATCTGTTCTTCAAATCCAATCAAGTAGTACTCTAGCGCTTCTTTGCTTCCTTTTCGGCCTGCAATTTTACAAATATCAATAATGGTTAGTTATATTCTGTTAATTACACAAAGAGAAAAAAAGAAAAAAGAAAAAGAGTACTTTATGATGTTTGTAGTCTGTTTGGATAACATACCGCTTGAACAACTCTTTCGAAGGCATTTGGTCCGTATCTTTCAATATATCTCTCCACGGATTTTCGGGCATCAAGACTCATCATCTGAAGAACCCTTCTTTGGTTTTCTGGGTAGTTGGAGTTAACATGGCTCCCAACCTTAACATATTTCCTCACGAAGTTCTCGTAAATGTAGGCTGCTCCGTTGAATATCGGCAACACCAACCACAAGCAAAACACCAGCTTCATGAATGGCCAGAAGGGCAGCCTGCAGCATGCATCCGCCAGAATTCCAGACCATTAATCGACCCTTTTTTTTTTCGAAATAATATGAATTGGAATATGGGATTTTTGTAAATCTTATTACCATTGAAGGATTTTCCAGAAGGATAGTTCAAAGAGGGTGATGAATGAGTATAGAACCCAGTACGTCAGCCATTGTTGATCATCAAGGGTTGAAGGACTCTCGATAGCTCGCATAGATGCATATCTGGAAAAATAACGGTTAATTTTAATTATGGCCTATTATACATGTGATATTAATTAGTATCTTCTTTATCAAGCAAAGAATATTGTGAAGAGGAATGTGTTTTTCACTCACAGAGGATAGAGAAGCATCGCCCCAGGTCTGCATTTTTCGTAGTTCAGTTCAAAAAAAAAGCCAAAAGGAAATTAGTCAGCTGGCCATGCATGTGATGATAAAAAAAAAAAAAGAAAGAAGAAGAAAAAGATTCAGAAAACACTTAATTTCAATCTGCATGCGACATGCATGCATGGATTTTATCTCCGCCGCATGAATATTTATGTCGCGAGTGCATTATTTTATCGGGTGAAAAATGATATTTTCGTATTAATATTAATATAAAAAATATAAGAAAAAAATGGACGTGTAATCCGACAAGTAACAACTATGAAGAAAGTACCCGATGATTGCATCCAAATGTCTTGCAATAGCTCCAAGAACACCCATGTTTGAAATCAATAAAGGAGAGATAATAACAATAAAAAAATTGTTTATAATTTATACTTTGAGCTTGCTTTTGTGTGATCACTTTTAAAAGGGAGTTTTTGATGAATATGGGAATCGAACAGAAGAAGCATGGAGGGATGGTGATTATTTATAGTGGGGTATCAATTGGGGAGTTGATGCAGAGAAGAAATGGATATCTTTATGGGAAGAGCCAAAGTCTACTTTCCTCTCACAACAAGAAAAGATTAGCAACTTTGAGGCTTTTGGAATTGATGTGTTGGCCAACTTTGCATGTGGGAAATAGCCAGATTTATTAAGTACTACTTTTGTCCCATAAAAATAATCTATATTAAGTTTTAAAATTTATATTAAAAACAGTATAAAACTTAAAATTCAATGTAGACTATTTTTTCTGGACGGAGGAAGTATTTATTTAGAAACTAGAATATCGACATTGGGTCATATGTAGGCCATCTCCCAAGGTTCTAGTTGAAAAGTTACAATAAACAAACATCTTTCATTTTCTTATCTCCCCCCTTAACTGGTCAGAGTAGGTCTCAAAAAATAAAAAAAATCACAGTAATCTGAAGATTATTTAACAATAGTAAAAAAATCCTTATTATGGTTACATGCGCACAGTCATTGTATTTATTTCATCTGTTTAAAAATAATCATTCTATTAATTACATCATTTTATTAATAACAATCAAAAGCAATCATTCTTATGGGATATTATTTTTTAATTTTGTTAGTCAGTTTTAACTTGAGAGAAAATACGACATGCATTTCAGGAATATCGTGGGTTCGGTTCTAGGAATATTCTATTCAATAAATGTACTCCCTCCGTCCCATAATTATTGTCCACTTTGCCCAAAAAATTTTGTCCCAAAATTTTTGTCCAATTTGACTTTTTATGGATCAAGTTACACATTTGTCCTTAGTAAAAAACATTATTCATAAAATCTTTATAGTTAAACAATTACTTATGTAGGGGGTATATCCGGTTGTTCAAGGTAAAATATAGTTAAGTTTGACTAAAAATAAAATTTTTCATTTTAGTAAAACTGGACAAAAATTATGGGACGGAGGGAGTACTATTCATCAAGGGTAGAGTCTAGAATCAAGGGATCACTATTACATATTCACCATACGACGAAGACATTAGCTAGCTTAACTGTGATATATTGTTACTTTATCTTACAATAAAAAATATACGGTAGTTCCTTTTGTTCGTGTACTTGTCAAATTATATTAGGATTTAGGATTATTAAAATAGTCTATGGATTACTAATATGGAGACTAGCGCACATGAGTTAGTCAAAACATTTTCTTACTTAATTTTTTTTTATTTAATGTTTACTTGTTTCTTGTCCCAAAATAGTTATAATAGGCATGCAATAGTGATTAAAATACTTGTTGTAAGAACTTTACCTTCCAAAACGAACTTACCTGGCTCGAATCCGGATTAGTCAGAGCAATGATCTCGGATATCGGGTGCGATTTTTTTTTTTTAGATAATGGACATCGGGTGCATAATATAAAAAAAACAAAATTGAGTGAAAAAATTAAGAACAAAACTTTCATTTTAAAACTAACGGGTACGTGTTGTATAGCTGAATTTCTAAACAGCTGAGGGCCCAAAACAGACAGCCCAAATCTAGATCTCGTTAACCCGATGGCCCATTTTGTACCCCGACGGGTTCGCGCCTATCGCCAATTTTGCTCAATTTTATCCGATTTTAGCATTACACGTCAAGCTTCACACACACTCCCACACTGGTGAGTGTTTTCTTCCCAACACTTAAAAAAAAAAAAAAGAAAAAAGAATCAGCCCTAAACTGAAGCCCCGAAACCGCCCCGCCCCATGACATAAACCCTAACTCCGCTTCTTCATTTCATCTCTGTAAGTTTATTTCTTCGTCTTCCTCGCATGAATTTCCTAGTTTTATGTTTATGCCCGTTCGTTGCGATGATTTTATTTGGGTATTTTTGAGATCCGAGGTCCGAAAATTACTCGTGGGTGCGGTGGTTATTGATCCAATTTTGAGAATTAGGGCTGGTTTTTTGTTAGTTATTAAATTTCTCTTCATCATGACCCGATTTTAATTCTCGAATCGGGTTTCGGGTACGGGCTCATGCAGACTGCAATTTAATCCTAGCTGGTTTGGTTGTTTTTTATTTTTTTATTTTTTTATTTATTTGCATTTCCTCTGTGTATTTGATTTTGATTTTGGTTTGTCTGGAGCTGATGTTTCTTGTAGCCGTTATGCTTTTTTTTTTTTAAAAAAAAAAAGTAAGGAACTTGTGATTGTAATATCGTATGGAGATTATTAGAATTTAATGGTTAGGAATTTTTGATCTTGATGGCGAAAATGTTTATTAGTACTGAGTGTTGGCTTATCTGACCGCAGGGCACAAATTTCAGGGGTTTTAAGTTTCTTTGGATTATTAAGTCATGGAGATGCAGGAAGAAGCTGTGATAGTGAACTCTAGTAGATTGAAATCTTTGGTGTGGAATGATTTTGATCGGGTGAAAAAGGGGGATAGCATGGTGGCAATTTGTCGTCATTGTAAGAGGAAGCTTTGTGGTTCAAGCACTAGTGGCACTTCGCATTTAAGAAATCATTTGATCAGATGTCAAAGGGGCTCAAATCTTGAGGTCACCCCCTTGTTAACAAAAGGAAAAAGAAAGGATGGGACACTTGCTGTTGCAAGTCTTACTTTTGGGGAAGAGCAGAGAAGGGGTGAACCCTTTAGCACAGTGAATACCAAAATTGGGCGTGTGAATAGAAATGAGGATGATGTTAATGTTGGGGGTATTAGTTTTGATCATAAACGGAGTCGGCTTGATCTTGCTCGTATGATCATACAGCATAGATATTCTTTGAAAATGGTTGAGCATTTTGGGTTCAGGATATTTGTTAGAAATCTTCAGCCTTTGTTCGACCTGGTGACACTTGATAAAGTTGAGGCTGATTGCAAGGAAATTTATCAATTAGAGAAGCAGAAGGTGCATGAAGAGCTGAAAAAACTGCCTGGAAAAGTTAGCCTCTTTGCTGATACTTGGGATGCTAATGGTGATGCAAAGTATCTTTCATTAACCGCACATTTCATTGACAACAGCTGGCAATTGAAAAGGAAGATTCTCAGCCTTCTGATGATTGATCCTTCTCAAACAAAAGACCTTCTTTGTGAAACTATTATGACAAGTCTAAGAAAGTGGGATATTGACAGGAAGTTGTTTTCTATGACATTTGATAACCACTCCAGTCATGATGACATTGTTCGTACAATCAGGGACCAATTATGTGAGCAGCGAGTTTTGGTCTGCAATGGCCAGATGTTTGATGTACGTTGTGCAGCAAATGTTGTTAAGCTAATGGCTCAGGATGCTCTAGATACGTCTTTTGAAATTACTGAGAAATTCAGGGAATGCATCCGTTATGTCAAGAGTTCGCAAGCAGCACAAGATAAGTTCAATGAGGTGGTTCAAATAGCTGGAGTTGATAGTCAGAAATGTTTGTGTCTAGATAATCCATTGCAATGGAATTCTACATATATCATGCTTGACGCTTTAATGGAATATCGAAGTGCGTTTGTTCTTCTTCCAGAACATGACCCTCTTTACACAATTTGCCCATCCTACAAAGAATGGGATAGAGGAAGTGCCATTACTAGTTTCTTAAAGCTCTTTGTTGAAGTTTCTAATGTTTTTGTGGGAAACAAGTTTTGTACTGCGAATATATACTTTACAGAGATTTGTGATATACATCTGCAGCTGATTGACTGGTGCCAAAATCCAGATGATTTTATCAGTTGCTTGGCATTGAAAATGAAAACAAGATTTGATGAGTACTGGAAGAAGTGCAGCCTGGCTTTGGCAATTGCAGCCATCTTGGATCCCCGCTTCAAGATGAAACTAGTGGAATATTACTATCCTCAAATATATGGCAGTACTTGCCAAGATTGTATTCAAATTGTTTCCAACTGTATGAAGGCTCTGTACAATGGCCACGCCCCCCAGTCAGCTTCTCAAGGTCAAGGACAGCTTGGCAGTGGTGCAAACGGTGAATCTAGAAGCAGGCTTGCAGGCTTTGACAAATTTGTTATGGAAACTTCACAGAATCCAAGTGTAAAATCGGACTTGGACAAGTACTTAGAGGAACCACTATTTCCTCGCAATGCTGATTTCAATATCCTAAACTGGTGGAAAGCTCACACTCCAAGATATCCAACATTATCGACAATGGCACGGAATATTTTAGGAATTCCACTGTCAAAAGTCTCAATGGATTCCTTGTTCAGCACTGGTGACAAGGTTATTGATCAATCCTGGAGTTCACTTCGACCTGATACTCTCCAAGCCTTGCTGTGCACCCAGGACTGGATTTGCAGCGAGTTAGAAGGTTAATTTTGTGATACTGAGTATTTGATTGCATTCATATATCTACCATCAGCTGCTGACCTTTTATTATTTTCTCATTGACAGGTTCTTAATAGTGCTTCAGCTAGGCTTCCTCCATTTATCCGGAACCAAGGTAGGGCGAATTGCAGATAGTAGTTCTCATTCTGTAAAAGTTCTGTTACATAATTTTGTATAGTTACCCTCAGAGTGAGAGGACTGAGGAGATCCTCTGTTTCAATCTGTGTATGGGTTGTGTTTCTTTAGTAAAAATGTCTTTGGTTCGTTTGTTGTTAACTGGTTGGTGATGGCCAAAAGTAGCAGTAACAACCTTACATTCTAACTTGCTATTTCTCTCCTCCCTGGATGATGTGTTTTTCTCAAATGCTTTTTTGAAGCCAATTTTATACCTCCTTTGTCCATTGGAATTCGGATCAGTTATGTTTCAGTGTTCTAAATTCTAAACACCATTGAATTTGTATGTTCCACCAAACAAGGAGTACGCGAGTGTAAATATGCTGCCCATTATTTTGGGTGGGGTTAGTCATCCGCCGATTTTTTAGCCAGTATTGATTACAGTTTGGGGTGTGTCGGTTTTTCTTTCTTTTCCTTACTTTCTTCTGAAGTGAAGAGAAACTCAAAGTGGATTCCAAGTTGAAGAAACAAACGTTATGAATTTGGGCCTCTGGTGTCTGTTTCTAAGTGAAGATTTGCAGCAACTGAGTCTATATGGACAGGCTCTCAGCCCACTTTATCTATACACGGTGCTTCTCTGCTGCCAGTGAAAAGTATTTGTGTGTTTGAAACAAATTTCTACGAGCCAATAATAAGGTTCTTAGTTGTGGGATAAGTATTCATCAATCGATGGAAGTTGGAGTTTGAAATCTGTTATAGACATAGAATAACTTGTCATGGTTTAATCAATTGTTCATTTTATCGACATGTCACATTTCAGTGAGACACTAGTAGAGATCATTGTCGATACTAAACACCTCACAAATTTGGAAAAAAAACATACACCCTCCGTCCAAAAAAAAATAGTCCTGGATATTTTTTTGGGACGGAGGTAGTATTTTTTTTTATAAACTTGTTCATTAATTATATGTATGTAAGTCAAATGGTTCGGCATTACTATTGATAATTCTTCCGGCGTCGTATTTTGCAAACACTATTGTTAACTTGCTATTGTTTTGTTAATTTGAGGTATATAATTCAACAAGTCTGTATTCATTTTTATGTATTTTGTCTCATATTTTTAGATTGGTTGTACTTCTCGATTCAAAATGAAGGAGGCATGAATGAGAAAGTAATAAAATCAACGTGTTGAAATTAGCAGCCATTTTGCTGACTTTAATTAAGGTTTTAATGCTAGTATTATGTTGTTGCTGATTTTGTTAATCAATCCAAAGAACTTCGTCAAAACTATTGGTGTGGAGGACCACAGCTATAATCTCCTCTTTTGTGATGAATTACCTTGCCCGGTCTTCAAGTTGGTATCTCTCGTCCCAACAATATATAATTCTGGGGAGAATGAGCCTTTTCATCTCAAGGTTTGAGCCACACAATCTAAAACATCTCAAAATTTAAAAGCATGCCATTTTCATCCCAAACTTTTCAAAAATATGTAATATTAGGACATTTGTTAAATTTTTCAAGTTATTAACGGCGATATTTTCTTCAGTTTCTTTTCCCCCATTTTTTTTAGTCAAAAAAGTTTTATGCTTGTGTTTGCTAAATTTGGTCCATGCCAAGCAAAAAAGTTGCATGTCCCTACATCAATTCCAACACTAATTTTTAAAATGATGCTACATATTTAGAAAAATAAATGAAATAGGGCTTACATTCTAATTAGAACACACACAAAATCTCTCATGATTGTTATTAATCTAGAAGGTGAATCTTGGATTTTTTTTTCTTTTTCTAAGCAAGGGAAGAATGGATGATGTGAAGACCAAATTAGGTTTAGTTATTTTCTTATAAGGTGAGAGTTAGTGGAACGTGTTAAATGATTAAAAGAATTGGGGGAGGAGAAACAGAATAAAATACCACTACTAATTAATTAAGTAGAGTTAAAAATTTAACGAATATTCTAATGTAATATGTTTTTAAAAAGTTTGGGATATAAATGGCATGTTCTTAAATTTTGGGATGTTTTGGTTGGTGTGGCCTAAACTTTGGGATGAAAAGACCCATTTTTCCTATAATTTTGTGATTTGTTGTATTAGACGTCGTCGTACAAACTTTGCAATCAACAGGTAGCACAAATTCTTGAACAAGAAAATTCCGATCTCTAGTTTTATCGTTCACATTTGGAGTAACGTAGCCAATTTCGCATTAAATGATGGTAACCATCACTATTATTGAAAATGATTAATTCTTCGTTTTCGAAAAATTTGTTAGAATTATGTCCTTTGAGTCAAAGTGAAGTTCTTTAATTATTACAAATCTGGGATTTCACTAGGAAACAGAAGCTTCATATGAATGATGAATCATCAAATGTCACATCCTCTTTATTATTTTTCTTCTTTTTCCACACCCCCCCCCCCCAAAAAATCTGTTTGTTCTTGATTGATTAGGGATATAATATGTCAAATCTCAGAAAATTAGGTCTAGTTTCGCCTAATTTGCAGTACCGGTGAGAATAAATGTCTGTTGGTTTTCAGTAACGAATTACGTGAATGTTTGTTTATGCTTTTTCTGTGTTACAAAACCACTTGCTCATCGATAAGTGGAAAAAAGGAAAACCTAAAAACATATTTAAGCTTTAGTCGTCGTTTCATAATTGCTTTGGAAGAAAATGGGATAATTTTTTCTGTCCCAAAATGATTATTATCTTTATTATATTATTTTAATACAATAAATATGACAATGATTTTGGGACACAGATAAAAAAAAATTTTATCTAGGGAAAAAATTATGTATCCAGGGAAAGAGGCGGCAGTTACAATTATTAAAATGGGCAGCCAAATGAAACCAAACACACCACAGATTAGTTTTAGCAAAAGGATATGGAGCAAGGCGAAATATAGACAGGCTGAAACAGACACATAACCATTTTATTTTACTAATTTATTTATTTATTTTTTTTGTAAGTTCACTTATAACACACAGGAAAAAAAGATGATTAGAAAGAATCAAAGATGCACGTACGTCGTATGTCACAAAGACATGATTTGATGTAATTAAACTGATGTTAGTAACTCAAATGCTCTATATTTTTCGACAGATGAGTAATGAGAAAAAGAGTGAAACTATTGAGTCAGATGGTTTAATACATACTTGAGAATACGAACTAATCAATTCTATTCTTATAAACAAAATGCACTTTTTTTTTGTGTAATTTGAATTACTTTTATGGGATGGAGGTACGTAGTATAATATAACTAATGTTCAATCATGTTTTGTTGGCTGTAGAGATAAGAATTTGCTTAGTAAGAAAAAAAATATTTACAATTATTTATGACTTAATGGATAAGACAATATATACTTTCATGACACACTAATATTACCAGAGATATGATTGGATTTCTTGTCAATTATCATGTCCTCTTTCTGTCTCACACACACACAAAAAAAAAAAAAGTCTTGTAAATTATGATTATCAGATTTCTTGTCAATTATCATATCCTCATTCCGTCCTATATATAAAAATGGACAAAATTATATATTATTAATTGCATTAGTCTTAACAACAGTTTTACCGTATTGATAATTTTTGTTGGATAACGAAACTATTAATTAACGAAGGTTGTAGGATAACAATTGTATAGAAGAGGTATGTGGGGTTAATGTTGGACTTGTTATAGGTATCCGACAGTTATTATGTCGAGATTGGGAAGTAGAGTTCAAGCATGAGTATCGAGAAGCAAACTTTATGGTAGATTACTTAGCTTTATTGGTGGCACATGCCTGGAGGATTTCAATAGATCGATGATCCACTGTTGAGAGTTAAACTATGATTTTAGCATAATGATATAGGTGTAGTATATTCTCGTAATGTATCAATTTTTTTCGTAAGGCATGAGGCTCTTTTTACTTTTAAAAAAACAACATGTTATGAAGTCGTTTTATTTGAAAAGCTTGCTTCACAGTTGGTAATCTGACATCCTTGACTGCATCACAGGTAAGAGTGCTTTAGATGATATCGAATACACCTAAGAGAGTTAAGACAACTTTGGTTTGATGTTTATTGGGGAGGTCTCCTCAAAAAATGCAGTCGACTAGGTTTTTTGTTTTTTTTCAAATATCTTATATTTTTTTTAAATTTAAGCAATTTACTCTCGGTAATTGTAACTAATTGTTATCGCCACAAAAAAGAGAGAGTATAAACTAAATGGTATTGACAAGACATAATTGATAAACAAGTTCTACAGAACTATGTGATCACAATATATGAAGGACAGGAGAGATAGGGACCAGAATTACAATGGGACGATCAGTACAAAAGACATACATATATGTGATGTTTTTACATAGGAAAACATCAAATGATGGTGAAAGGTCCAAAGAATTGAATGCAATACCTAATACTATTAATGCTCACCTCCATACCACTTTGCCCTTCTTCCTTCCCTAGAAAAGAAGGATATTTTACATTTGGGACAAGTTGGATTTCGAACTGAAAAAGGTTTTTGCACTAATAATTTGATGGATACATAGCACATACTAGGGTGACGAAGAAACCACAATTATTGCATCTGATCAACTCTAAGAAAAAAGAGACTATTTTCCCTCTAAACCCGGCCGTGCACTATACATTTTTAAATCGATACAACTCGCGAGATTGGAAGACATAATTTCAGAAAAACGTGTTATTTAGAACTGTGGTAACATATAAAATGTACATATAAGATACGACCGTAATATAATGGTGTCATTAGATCCTCTGTACCATTTTCTTGTGACATTATCTGTTACACAATCTATTATTCTTTATAAATGATATGATTTGTGTTCATACATATACCATAAACACATATTTTCAATGTAGATAATTTTCATATTGTTATTTTATTTTTTTTTATCAATGTTTTATTTTATATGAAATTTATCTATTTTTATTGAATTTTTTAATCATGAATTTTTTTTTTAAAAAAGGGCACTAATCCGAAAAAATGAACCCTTTTAAAATATATAATTTTGAAAGTGATTGTGAATGATGTAAATAGTAACGCAAATACTATAATACAAACTTATTAAACAGTACAACAGATAGTGTCACGGAAAAATGGTTCAGAGGATGGGCTTGACGTAACTATTCGAAACTAATCCCTCCGATTTTTAATATAAGGTATTTTGATTTTGTCCTAGACTTTACTTAGTACATATTTTTAATTGATAAAAAAAACTTAAAAATATATTTTCACATTCGTTGTATTCTTTTGATTGTTATGAAGTTTTTTTTTTATCAATTAAAAATACATACTAGGTTAAACTTATGATGAATCAAAATGGCTTAGGAGTATTATTTTTTGAATTCGTGGTTTTTCTTTTGCAAGGCGAATGTAGTTTTTGCTTAGAGAAGTACCGGCGCTTTGTTAAGGATATATGTACCTAGAGGAATCCCCTTCCTTCCACCACGCAAT